GTTTTGTAAATACATGCTCATTTTTTGTGTATAACATTTTGCAATCAACAGACATCATAACATGTCATGTGTACAAGTCTCACACCTGCCTGTCTCTGTAATTACATAATGTGACAGAGACCAAACTTGGGCCATACATCAATGCGTTTTGTTTATGGTGTTTTGCCTGATTGGTGTTAAGTTCAAATTGCATGTGGTCAGTGATCGCAGTTGTGTATTGAATATTGTCATTAGCAGACAGGCAGGCAGACACACAGGTGTCAATAAAACAAGACATTGAGTTTTGTCTGTGACAACGACATATCTATATCACAGTTAGAAATTCTGTCAACGCTAAATAATGACATTGCTTTTAAGTATCGAACTGAGAAAGTGATTTCGGTAAGAAGAATGTGTGGTGAAATAGACAAATGAAATTATATAAACAGTTTATTTACTGTCATAACATATAAAAGCTCAGCCTGTGAGATATCAACAAAACATTAGGAAAATAGCTCACACCAAAGCCTTCACCCAGTATTCACAGGACAGCCCGCTTCCAAGTTGTGCGAACCTATTTCACTGCGCACGTGCTATGAGCGCAGCCCAGCTGTTGAAACCAGTTTTCCCGAAAAGTCGGGGGAAAATTAGTGAATCGTTTGAACTCCGATTTCTCGCGGTTTTTTCTTCGTGTTATTTTTCAACTTTATAAGTTGAATTTGCATTTTTGATGATTTGTTTCGGTAAGTCCATACAGAAAGGTATCATAATCTGCAAAGTTATGTTTTACGTTGCATGTGACCTTTAAAGGAATGGTGCAGCGTGTAGATAAACTGTAAATGAAATGTTCAGTATTTCTTAGAATTTAATAGAAAGATATCAAAATTCAAAAAGAGACACAGTGTCTAAAGAATGTCAGATTTACCTTCCTTTTCTTGATTACATTACATTACATCAAATCGCATTAAAAACTTGCAAGAAAAAAATTTCAATCACAGATGAGACACAAAACCCTTTAAATCTTTTTAGCGTGATTCCTTAGGCAATGGTTCTCGAAGCTTTGGTCATTTTACATGTTTAAAAAGCAGAACATGCAATGGCAATCATACTCTCTGGCCAGATACACTGGTTCAGAAGCAATATGATTAACGTTTCATGTCATATTCATAGGAGAAGTAGCTCTCACAATTAAACAAAAATAATTGGATTTTGGAAACACCTTTGACCAAACCTCATCAGGCTTGTGGAAAAATGAAGGGAAATAAAAAGTCTCCCCAGACTTCTCGTCTCACTATTGGCCAGAGAGTCTCAGAGCTGCTAGAGCTTCGGCAGACATTCTTGGTGGAATCCAGCCCAAATCCAATTCAACATGTCCAATCTTTCAGATCTGTGGTTAAATCTGTCATATGGTGCCACAACTATCTCATAATGCAATGTCAAGATACTGTTGTTGTCGCCATTTGAACCAATAGATGGAAAACAAATTAACTATGTGGAATTATTGTAATCGGTGTGGTAGAAGAGCGTCCTTGTGAACGTAGTGGTCTTATGTAAATCAGACTACGCCTCTTTGGACGTAAGTATGTGCTCAAGTGGTGGAGATGCCATCCCCCATCATCCCCTGAATCCCAAATAACATCTAACTTTTAACTCAGAGTCTCACTGCTCACCCTGAATACAGAAATATTTCTGACTACAAATCTAAAAACATTGAGTGAATGAGTTTAGCTTTCATGCTGCTTTAAGCAATATTCCAGCAATATCACGACAGGGGACACCAGAAAAGGGCTTCACACATTGTACCCATGTTGGGAATCAAACCCGGGTCTTCGACGAGACGAGCAAACGTTTTAATCACAGGCTACCCCACCACCCTTAAAAACATTGAGAAAAGGATGTAATCTGAAGTTACTGCTAAATTTTATATACAAAATCAAATACTCAAATACTACAGTGTAAACAAAATTCTTACAAGAACAATTATTATGCTTTTAAATCCTTATAAATGTTTTATATTTTGAGTCCCAACACAATTTATTTGTATCCCACATACTACACTGCTGAATCTCAAATACCTAGAACGAGGGGCAGTGGGGTAGTCTAGTGGTCAAAGCGTTCGCTCATCACGCTGAAAACCCGGTACAATTCCCCAACATGGGTACCACCATGTGTGAAGCCCATTTCTGGTGTCCCCCACTATGCTATTGCTGGAAATTAGCTAATAGTGGCGTAAAACCATTCTCACTCACTCCCTGGAAGCACATTGGCGCAAGTGGACAATGGTCATTTCTATCATTACAGTTAACCTGTTTCCTCAAAACCATGTTTATATTGAAAAATGACATATCTTGACAATATAGTTCTTCCAAACTAAGTGCCCATGCAAGGCAAATTTCAAAATAACAATCTTTTTGTCCAAAACTGGGTAATGTTTTTAATATCTCACTTTGAGAGGTGTTTTAATATTGCACTGCTTAAATGTGCCCTGTTCAGAGTAAACTACACGCCACTTTTGCCAAGGTGTAACACTTGTCATCATAATATCATAATCTGACACTGACTGCAGGCATGGCTCAGAGGCCGGTATTCAGCAACAAGTCTGCTGCAAGTGTCAGTAAAGTTTTATAAATGGGAATTAAATATTTCGTGTTCATATACAGTTACAACTACTGTGATGCTTAGTTAGAATGACTTGCATCTCACTTACAACACATGTTTAATTCTGCATTACTCTTAATAATCAAATGTTAAAAAGCTCTGAATATAAGAAAGTACATTAAAAATTTGTAATTTTGAAAAAAATAACAATTTTCTTCCAAATTTGGCCAAAAAAGGACATCCTGGTTTGACATCCTAGCTAAATCACTGCTGACAACTGGCCGCTAAGGACACTAATAATATATCTTCCATGTTATTGTTTTAGCTCAGCGTTCCTGTCAGCTTCAATAGATGCCATAGAAGTTTGAAAGCAACAATATCTACATGGGGATTGCACTTCATGCTGTAGTGAGAAGTAGCTTGTAAATAGCACTGAAAGACAACTGACATAACCATAAGAAATATGTACAAAAACTAGAGTTGGTTGTACAACACAAACTATATCATGACGAAGGAGCATGTGCTTAGTCATCACTATTAAATAGTAATAATACAAGGTGTTTGTTATCCTCGATAATCTCCAGGGTATACGTTCTGATAAATCTCCACTATACCCTGGATGCATCTAAGGCTCGAGCCGATGATTTTATTACCTCCCTTGGTTGGCTTTTTATCCAATCAGGTGTCTACGCTGGGAAGTTGAGCATACCAATCACAACTCACTTTCGCTTTTAAATTATCTAACCAATTAAACTTGGAAACACAATAATATATTGTTGCAGAAGTACTCTGAAAGAGGTAGAAGGCGTTCTTGCATATATTGTTTTTAAGATTTCAGACCTGTCAATTTGTCTGTATGTTTTTCCCCAAAACTTTCGCGGCTGCGACGGCTATCTTTGGTGACACTGGCATGCTCGGTTGTAATGGCGGCTTATCTGATTGGCTACTGTGAGAATGCAGAGCCAGCAAAGGAAGGTAATAAAATCATCAGCTCGAGCCGTAGATGCATCCAGGGTGTAGTGGAGATTTATCGGAATGTATACCCTGGAGATTATCGCTTAGTCTCTGAATTTATATAATATTGATAGAACAAACAATTCCTCATAAACTGAAAACAAGCCCTAGTGAGATGAGAGATTGAACCTGAGGAAATCTAGACTTGCTTTAGCATTGCAGAAAGGGCTAAGCAGAAGGGAAAATAATGTGGTTCAGCGACTGTGAAGCAGACTAGGTGTTAGTTAAAATGTGAGCGTGTCCTTCCTCATCATCAGACATAAGTTCAGCAGGCCATTATGTCTAGAGCAGCAGAGATACCTGTGGTTGACATGGCAACAATTCCTGTTCTCAGAGAACAGTGACACAACTACCCTGGCACAAACTGTCACTTACAGATGTCAGCTGTCAAAACAAACTGGTTTTACTTAAAAGTAAACGACTTTTAACAGAAATAAAGAATTATACATTGACGAATTCCAGTATATACCAAATACATTGGAGATGCTAAACTTACTCAAAACCATCTCTGAACTTGTTTGAATTTAAGAAGTGTTTGATTATAAACCACAGCAAGATACATACAAATAAAGGTTTCAATGTTTGTATTGACTACCAACTCAAACGTATCAAGATATATTTACACATTAAATAATAACAAAATAAACCATTCTGTTAAATGTACAGATAAAAACCTAAATATTACCTTGGCAGATCCATGAAACAATTAAAATTGTACTGTCTGCCTTCTCTTCGTCCATCTTAACAATGGTAACTTTAATAAATGTAAACATTTCTGTGGCAGCGAGTTATTTATTTTGTATCTATGTTCACAAATGAGTATCAATAGAACAAATATTTATCAATATCGTGAGATATAGAGAATCTCACTCAAGTGTCTACTTATATCAATTATATCAACACGAGTTGATAACGGTACAAAAACATTTACTTTTATCAACGAGTGTTGATATAATTGATATCAGTAGACACGAGGGTGAGATTCTATTTATCATAAAAAATAAAAAAATGTGAATCTCTGAACACGGTACTGCCATTAGAATTGCAGTGCAATGATGTCATAGCATTGTGATGTCATCAAGTTCATGACATCATAGCATTGTAAGTCAAAATCTACTGTCAAAACTATATCTTCCAGGAGATATCAGATGATGTCACACAAGCAAGATCACAGTTTTGGATGATAAAGGATGATATCCCTGCTACTAATGCTAATAATAATGATTTCCAAGACACAAGTTTTAATTGTGACTTAAGTTCATTCTCAGTCAGTTCCAGCTGTTATGGACACTCACATGTTTCAGAAAAAATTCTGTTGTCCATCTGTCCAAATGCTGTTGTTTTCTATCAAAATATTAATAAAACTTACATATGATAATATTTCATGCTCTGGAATACAACAACGAGGAGAGTTCTACGGATATACAACTTCTTTCATATAATATGAGTGACGTTTCGTTGTAGCTACTAACACTGTTACAAATAGTTCAAGCTACTAAATAGTTTCAAGCAAATAGTTAGCTACTAACACTGTTATCAAGCAAATAGTTAACACTGTTATCCAGTGTAGTGTAGCTACTAACACTGTTATCAAGCAAATAGTTCCAGTGTAGCTACTAACACTGTTATCAAGCAAATAGTTCCAGTGTAGCTACTAACACTGTTATCAAGCAAATAGTTCCAGTGTAGCTACTAACACTGTTATCAAGCAAATAGTTCCAGTGTAGCTACTAACACTGTTATCAAGCAAATAGTTCCAGTGTAGCTACTAACACTGTTATCAAGCAAATAGTTCCGGTGTAGCTACTAACACTGTTATCAAGCAAATAGTTCCAGTGTAGCTACTAACACTGTTATCAAGCAAATAGTTCCGGTGTAGCTACTAACTCTGTTATCAAGCAAATAATGATTAATTGCTTGATAAGTGTAGTGTTAGTAGCTAACACTGAAACGTGCTTGATAGCTTATTATATGAAAGAAGTTGTATATCCATAGAACTCTCCTTGTTGTTTATCACACCAACTTCTAAATGCCACTCAAACAAGTCTGGAATACAAGTTTGGTCCCAGCTATGACTGATTCCTTTCAAGTTGGAAGAAACTCCATATTTATTAAGTTTGCAGTTCAAAACTCTTTTTTTATCCTTTTTTTTCAGACTTCACAAAATATCACCATCTTTTAATTTTCCTGAAACATGGTCCCATTTATGAAGTGCAAAAAGCATTTGTGGGTGATGTAATGATTACAGCCGAAATGGTTCGGGGCATTTTGACATGTAACAAACTATTGTCAAACAGCACTCAGGGCCATGATGTAGAACATGCATGCACGACTAGAAGCTTTTTCTCAGAAAAACTGCCCATTAATCAAATAAAAAATCCACCTCTGTTTGGCAAGCTTAAACGTGTCGAATCGCCCAAGACTTTGGGCTTTCTATGGGCGCTAAGTGTGCGTTAATCTGCCAAATTCGGACAAAATTTGAGCATGCTGGAGACACTTGTCTGATGGAGGGGATTGTGTTTCTGTCTGATTGACTTTGCCATTCGTCATAAAGCTAATTGGCAGTTGCTCAACATTTTCTTGGGCTATTGTCATGTCGTGGCAACTCACAGAGGTCGTCAGTCAACATGCACATGGACAGGAGAGACAAAAAGAGACCTCTGATGTTCCCATAATGAAGAGTGTTTGGAAACTTGTGGGAAAATATGGCGTTTGTTGCCACCATGCCGCATCTCGTATCTCAACCATGGATACCCTGTAATTCGTTTCACCACTTGCAATTACCAAAAAAACCATGCTATCATTAACATAACAAAACAAACTCCTAAAGCCCACCTTATCATGAAAATTTGAAATAAATCAAAATATTGAAGAGTTAGTTTTTCCAGTTTTAAAGAAAGTTTGTTTGAAACCCTTTTTGTTGTGAAAAAATATATCTTTTGTGATATCTTAAATAAATGGTGAATCAATTGCAATCTTGGGTTTGTCAAAATAAAACTAAATCTATTTTAAGATTTCTTAATTTTTAGTTTGTGTCTCTCAGTGATTAAAGTGGAAACCAGTAAGTGGTAAAGTGGAAAAAAATAAATAGAAAATCTGACAGAAGTAAATACAGTTTCAAAACACTTACTGACAATAATATGATGCTGATATAGTTGAAGTCCAAAGACATTTGGATGAGATTCTAGTTATTTTAAAACAGTAATAACCCATGTCTTGTGTGAAAAAAGATCAGCTGATCATAAACGTTGATTAAAAGCAAATGTTTTGGTAATAATTAATAGGCAATCGGAAAAAATATGCATAATACACACACAAATTGAGTGTCATTAAACTTTTTGATCTGAGTAGTAGCTGCTTACAAAGACTAATTTTTTACTGGTCATGGAGTACGTCCGGGGTGCTTATTGGGCCAGGGCTCTTATATTTACATCGTGAGTTAATTTCTTGTCCTCTTTGTGAGGTGTCTCTAGTGGCCAGAAACATTTTACATCAGATCAGTCCTCATTAAAAAGTTGAAAGTGGCCTTCATCTTTAAATTTTATGATTCTTTTAAAGTCAGTGCAGGTAGAAGATAAAATTTAATTTAATTGTGGCTTTTGGCTCAAGTCAGTTTAGTGATCAGGGTATGACCGATTCATTTTCGAATGTGCAGGATATTTTTAAAAAACAAAATTTACTCAAGAAACCAATAGTGAGTGAGTGAGTTTAGCTTGATGCCACACTCAGCACTATTCCAGCTATATGGCGGTGGTCTGTAAATAATCGAGTCTGGACCAGACAATCCAGTGATCAACAGCATGAGCATCGATCTGCGCAATTGGGAACCGATGACGTCAACCAAGCCAGCGAACCTAACCTCCCGATCCTGTTAGTCGCCTCTTACGACAAACATGGGTTGCTGAAGATTCATTCTAACCCGGATCTTCACAGGTCCAGAAACCAATAGAAACCTAAAATATAATTGTTTGGCAAGATAAGTGACTGAGTCCACTGTGTCACTGTGTATTGGACAGATAGTCAGCCCGAGAGCAGAAAGTCAGCGATCCCCTTCTTTATTATAGGAACATCTGTAAAATTTGGGATTACATTTCTCAGTAAAGTACAGACTCTAGTACTAGCACACAGTGTCAGCCATCTAACCTACTCAGCCACTGTATCTTCCACCTTTATACATGTGAGGGTGTGGGTTCAAATCCTGGATGGGACTCAGCCCAACAAATGTACTAGAATCTGTACTTTACTGAGAAAGTGTAATCCCAAATATAACACATGTTACATTCTACCACTTTCTAAATAGCATTGTGTAGTCATATGTCATAGGAAGATGTTGGAGAATGGTACTTGTTGTTACTCTGCCTTACGCTTGGCAAGGGCATAAAGCTAGGACTGTTTGGTTGGAAGTCGGTATACAATGTCTGGCTGGATATCCATCTTTAATAGCAGCAGGGTATTTCAGCTGGCTAGCACTTTAAAACTTAAAAATGACATTAAAACAACGTTGCATGTCATTTTACCTTCTTTCTTTGGGTAGTCTAGTGGGTAAAAGTTCGCTCGTCACACTGAAGACCCAGGTTTGATTCCCCACATGGGTACATATGAAGCCCATTTCTGGTGTCCCCCGCCATGATATTCCTGGAATAATGCTAAAAGCAGCATTAAACTAAACTCACTCACTCACTCACAAACTCACAACCTGTGTATCACACGCTTCACTAATCCTCATTATAGTCTCAGTAAGGCCTGGGAGGCTACCATTATCTACAAAATGCAGATTTTTTTCACATTTAATTCTTTGTTTCAAATTATTTCTTAAGGTTATTTTCTATTTGTGAAGGGATAAAAATCATTTCTTATGATTATTTTCTACAAATGAAGGGATAAAAGTATGAGACATCTTGAAGATAACTTCAAACAAGTGAACGATAACCCTTCTGCCATCTTCAGTTGTATATTACTTACATCGCAACTAGGGAGAATATCAATACAGAGCCTGGGTCTTCAATGGAGTCCAACTACCAGAGTGCTTGAACCATGGAGTTATCCCTTCACCTCCAATTTTCAAAATGGAGCTACCACTTAATTCCAATTTTAACATGAATCTACCCCATGATCCCAATTTTCAATATGGATCTAACCCCACCAACACCAATTTTTCAATATGGATCTAACCCCATGAACACCAATTTTTCAATATGATCCCAATTTTCAATATGGATCTAACCCCACGAACACCAATTTTCAATATGGATCTAACCCCACGAACACCAATTTTCAATATGGATCTAACCCCACCAACACCAATTTTCAATATGGATCTAACCCCATGAACACCAATTTTCAATATGGATCTACCCCAATTTTCAATATGGATCTAACCCCACCAACACCAATTTTCAATATGGATCTAACCCCACGAACACCAATTTTCAATATGGATCTAACCCCACCAACACCAGTTTTCAACAAAGGATCTACCCCATGATCCAATTTTCAACATGGATCTACCCGATGATCCAATTTTCAACAATGGAGATACTACACATCTTCCTAATTTAACCAATAATATGTATATCACAGAAATTTAAAGCATATTCTAACTACTCAGCACACAAAAATTTGATCATAACAAAACCATCTACTGTCACACCTGTAAACCCCAAGCTGGTACATTTTATGGAACTGTGATGAAGTGTTGAAAGTTAAGCTGTGTAAAAAACTGAAGACCAAATCTTAAATCCCTTCAAAATATACTTAAAAAGCATTTGTTACTCCATCCAAACTTAATCTTTTTCTAAAGCATAACCAGAGACAAAAAAGATCAGCATCTGTGTTTTTGTCTTCTCCTGGTTGATTAAAAGTCAAGCCAAACTCTAGACAGAGCTGTTATTGGAATAAATTGAAGAATCTGTCTGTATAAATATAAGAGCTATTTGTCACCTGAGCAAGCTGGCTCCTCTGGGACAAGGTCCAGACTGGCCCAGGGGGCACCTGTCTCTTCTAAATTGTAATTCCAATACTGATATTATTTTTTATTGGAGCAAGGAGTCGCCATCATTATGACACAGGAGCTTTGTCTACCATGTCTTGTGAAAGGTCTGAGGTGAGTTGGCTTCATGTTGTATTTGTATATTATCTTAGCGAATACAACCAGCGCAACACTGTGTCTCAGAGCAGCACTGTCTCTGAGAACATCACTGTCTCTTCAGCTGCTAATAAATCAAAGTCAGACGGGCATGTTTCTAAATACAACCCTTGTTTGTGTAATTAACAAAATATGAATCAGACTTGCATATGTGTATGATTAAAAGGCAAATGTCATATTGTCACACTGTCTCAAAAATTATAACCCTCTTTTTTTCACTTATGTGTAGTTTTGTCTTTTGCTCAGGAGGATCGTAAACATGTTCTTATGGAATGAATTGAAAAATACAAAAAAGCTTCACAAAAGTGTCAATCAGGCTTTGATTCTGTCTCTGATTACCATATTCTCAA